ACACTCGATCCCTCTGATGTCAACAACTACAGACCAGTATCCCTTCTTTCTTTTCTCTCCAAAACTATTGAGCGTGCCGTCTTTAGCCAACTCTCTTGCTATCTCTCTCAGAATGACCTTCTTGATCCAAACCAGTCAGGTTTCAAGACTGGTCATTCAACTGAGACTGCTCTTCTCTGTGTCACAGAGGCTCTCCGCACTGCTAAAGCTAACTCTCTCTCCTCTGCTCTTGTCCTTCTAGACCTGTCTGCTGCCTTTGATACTGTGAACCATCAGATCCTCCTCTCCACCCTCTCCGAGCTGGGCATCTCCGGCGCGGCTCACTCTTGGATTGCGTCCTACCTGACCGGTCGCTCCTACCAAGTGGCGTGGCGAGAAGCTGTCTCCGCACCACGTGCTCTCACCACTGGTGTCCCCCAGGGCTCAGTTCTAGGCCCTCTCCTATTCTCGCTATACACCAAGTCACTTGGCTCTGTCATATCCTCACATGGCCTCTGCTATCATTGCTACGCTGACGACACACAACTAAGCTTCTCCTTTCCCCCTTCTGATAACCAGGTGGCGAATCGCATCTCTGCATGTCTGGCAGACATATCAGTGTGGATGACGGATCACCACCTCAAGCTGAATCTCGGCAAGACGGAGCTGCTTTTCCTCCCGGGGAAGGACTGCCCGTTCCATGATCTCGCCATCACGGTTGACAACTCCGTTGTGTCCTCCTCCCAGAGTGCGAACAGCCTTGGCGTGACCCTGGACAACACCCTGTCGTTCTCCGCTAACATCAAGGCGGTGACCCGATCCTGTAGGTTCATGCTCTACAACATTCGGAGAGTACGACCCTGCTTTACACAGGAAGCGGCACAGGTCCTAATCCAGGCACTTGTCATCTCCCGTCTGGATTACTGCAACTCGCTGTTGGCTGGGCTCCCTGCCTGTACCATTAAACCCCTACAACTCATCCAGAATGCCGCAGCCCGTCTGGTGTTCAACCTTCCCAAGTTCTCTCACGTCACCCCCGCTCCTCCGCACACTCCACTGGCTTCCAGTTGAAGCTCGCATCTGCTACAAGACCATGGTGCTTGCCTACGGAGCTGTGAGGGGAACGGCACCTCCGTACCTTCAGGCTCTGATCAGTCCCTACACCCAAACGAGGGCACTGCGTTCATCCACCTCTGGCCTGCTGGCTCCCCTACCTCTGCGGAAGCATAGTTCCCGCTCAGCCCAGTCAAAACTGTTCGCTGCTCTGGCACCCCAATGGTGGAACAAGCTCCCTCACGACGCCAGGACAGCGGAGTCACTCACCACCTTCCGGAGACATTTGAAACCCCTCCTCTTTAAGGAATACCTGGGATAGGATAAAGTAATCCTTCTACCCCCCCCCCCCCCCCCCCCAAAAAAAAAACCCATTGTAAAGTGGTTATCCCACTGGCTATAAGGTGAATGCACCTATTTGTAAGTCGCTCTGGATAAGAGCGTCTGCTAAATGACGTAAATGTAAATGTAATGGTTTGAGGATGCTTTGCTGCCTCAGGACCTGGACGACTTGCCTTAATAGAAGGAACCATGAATTCTGCTCTGTATCAGAGAATTCTACAGGAGAATGTCAGTCCATCCGTCTGTGAGCTGAAGCGCAGCTGGGTCATGTAGCAAGACAATGATCCAAAACACACAATCCAGTCTACATGAAAATGGCTAAAAAGCAACACATTTTCAGTTTCAGAATAGCCTAGTCAAAGTCCAGACCTAATCCCAATTGGTTGTTGTGGCAGGACTTGAAACGAGCAGTTCATGCTTGAAAACCCACAAATATCGCTCAGTTAAAGCAGTTCTGCATGAAAGAGTGGGCCAAAATTCCTCCACAGCGATGTGAGAGACTGATCAACAACTACTGGAAGCATTTGGTTGCAGTCATTGCAGCTAAAGGTGGCACCACCAGTTGTTGAGTATAAGGGTGCAATTACTTTTTCACACAGGGGAATTGGGTGTTGCATAACTTTGTTAATTAAATAAATAAACTAAGTATACATTTCTTTTGTTATTTGTAAACTCAGGTTCCCTTAATCTAATATTAGGTTTTGGTTGAAGATCTGATAACATTCAGAAACAAACATTTGCAAAAATAGAGAAAATCAGAAAGGGGACAAATACTTTTTCACGACACTGTAAATACAGCCAGTGTATAACTATAAGCATATAATGCTAATTATATTTCATCATTCAAATTAGGCCTTCTGCTAAGGCAAAGATTGACACAACAACACCAGGCAATTTGATTGACAATCAATTGCGGCGGGTGAAGTTTAAACGCAGGGCCTGTTCAGGTCATGTAGGTTAGCCATCCATAGGAACTGAACTAATACAAGCATTAGGACTGGTACCTTGAAATAATACTTCAAATGTAAACAAAGATAGCCATTCAATATAAGTTTGCCATTCAAATAACACGCTTACGTAATGTATGACGTCAATACTCATACCTCACAAAGAATAAAGTGCTTGTAAGTATTTTCAAGCAGACAAAATTCTCAAAATGACTTCATTTGAACATGTATTGTTTCCTTTTCCCACCTTGAGCAACTAGCATCGTTTCAAATGAAAAAACATTGTGGATGCTAGTCTTAGCTTTACCAACTAGGCACAGCACATCTTCAAAGAGCTATTGGAAGCAATTAAAGTGGAACTGACAGCGTTTTAGCAACATGAAATATTAATTAATATATATATACATATATACACACACACACACACACACACACACACACACACACACACACACACACACACATACACCCCTAGGAACAATATGACACTTTTTAAAAACATTTTCATACTTTCATAGAATGTTTGGGAATGATGTACAGCAAGGCATTTGTGAAAATTCTATAGCAAAAATTATATGTCCTGTCCAGGACCGGACTCTACACAGATCAGAGCTACAGTAGATATGCAAATAAGTCCTATGGGCCTGCCATAATTCACTTTGAACAGCGCGACTTTAGACCATTAGAAAGCATTTGCCAAAAGCCACAAAATACACCTGAATGGATTCCTCTTACATTTGGGAACTTTACAGTCCTATTTATCAAACAACCATTAAACATGTAGATTATCTCTCCCTCCCTAAAATCGACAACTAATGTTAGCCAGAGCGAGATGAGCTCAAATCTAACGAGGCAATAATAGATAAACCCTTTCAAACTTTTTCAGTTTGTAGTTGGTCCTCAAAATTGCACTGAAACGATGGGGAATAGTAGCCTGCTGACCCTTCTACAGCTTGCCTGCCAATGCATGCTTGTAAAAACCCACGTTTTGACAACTGAATGGGAACTGCCTGCCCGCCCATTTCATCAATGCCAAATACATTTGATTGACAACTAAGAGATCTGCATGCTAACTGTGTATAACAGTCGTTCAAATTCAGCATATCTAGCTAGCTAGCAAAGCGATTCACATATCTTGCTAGCTAACCAAATTAATCTCTAGCTGTAGCCACCGAAAAACGATGAGGGGGAAAAATCGGTCAATCACCCACTCATCCAACGACATGACATCCTCCCAAGCAGCTAGCTCATTAGGCTCCGTGTTTTTAGCTTGCTACATAAATAGATACGCTAGTCTATTAGCCACGTTTGACTGATTTATGATCATTGCCCTTGTTAGTTTGATTGTGTTGTAGTGATGGGTCGTTTGCGTTTTTTGAACGGATCTTTTTGGTGAACGTCGGGAACCGAATCGCATCGTTGAAAGAGCCGTTCATTTGGCTCCATGAGTTGCATACTGCTACAATACAAATACTAAGTGTACATTCGGGTCCACACTCATTTTTGCAAGTGATCTAATAATTTGGCCAGGTAAAAATGTATTTGAACCCGAATTTCACGATCTGACATAATGGTAGCCTACTTTTTGGGCTTTACATTGGAGATTGGTTCTTGGTGGTTCTAAAAATGATGGTTCTAGGTCGATATTTAAGCATGTTGAACGAAGAGCCGTTTGGAAGCCAAATGAGCCGGCTCTTTTAAGTGAACGAAGCCAAATTAGCCGACTCACAGAAAATAATCTGAATGTCCATCACTATTGTATTGACATTCCGAGCCTCAATTACATTCGTCCATTTTCTTCCAAAATATTGAGTAATTGAAACTGAAACAATGCATCCCGAATGGGTAGAGGCAGAAAACAATGTACCAGGCCAGCTGTGATTTACAACCTGATAGCAATATTTTTTGGACTACCAAGAAATGTATTGGTGGATTATATTAATCATGCATTGAACCGCAGCCATCTATTCTGCGAACAATGTCTTACTCTACGTCATGGAATTTTTTGTAAAATATAACATATTTTTAAAACCTCATAAATTGGTTTTGTAGCATGAACTGGGAATTTGATATTTTTGACTGATATTATGATTGTCTGTTTGATTCATATCTGCAAAGTAGTTAAAGCGCTGTCAGTTCCACTTTAAACTAAAAGGCTTATGGTAAATTCTCTACTTAAGCATGTTTTGGTTTCAGTTGTTTTACATATTGACCAATTCATATAAACATTGAAAGTCCTTCAAACAATCTTCTCATTTTCTCTTGCCTATGAAACAAAACAATGAATAAGGGGTTAAACAATGTGAATTTTTAAAATAAGTGTAAGTAAGTACATTATTGTTTTTACTCAATGGTAGGCATACAGCACTTATTTTTGCACAAGTGGTTGGTAATGCATCCTGCTACAGTGGTTGAAGAGCTGGAATCTGAATATGCATTGTCTCTCTGCTATTTTAAATCCACTTGAACACTACAGAAGAGCATAGTGAATACACTCATGCAGCAATCAAATATCCACATTTTGCAGCGCTAATGAATCATACACTCTTATCTCTCTATCCATCCACAGTTTCTTTCTCTCATTCGCTCCCTCTCTCAGTCCAGACTACAATGCAGATGAGTCATGCACTCATCTCTTCCCATCCATCCATCCATCTACAGTTTCATCCTCTCATTCTCTCAGTCCATACTGACCTTGTCAGTGCTGGTGGTGTAGGTTGGGTGAGTCTCTCCTGACTCCAGCCTCAGAACAGACAGACTAGAGTCAATCAGTTCCTCTGTGAAGGGAACCCATTTTTTTAATGTTACATCATAGTGATAGCTATTCACTGTACCTATTTGACATGGAGCATCCATGAACAAAACCATTGCCTACCTGTATTTCTGTTGCTATTGCTCTTGGCGTGTTCTAAAGGCTGGACAGCATTCTCCTGTGGAGGGGCAGCGTCTTTGACATTGCTGTGTGAAGTGGGAAAAACAGGGGTGGGCACACTGTCATGGCCGCTTTCAGCACACTCTGTTTTGGAGGAATCAGGCAGCTCAGAGCCCTCCTGCCCCTGTATCTGCCCATCAGATAAGCTTTGTGCCTGGACAGCTTCAGCAGGTTTATTACCCTGGTCCAGGGCATTACCAGCATCCTCCTGAGGGCTCTCGGGGGCCTGCTTCGGCTCCTCCACCTCATGGCTGTTTTTGCCAGGGGAGGACACTTTTAAAGTGCTGGCGCCCTTGGTTTCTGAGCGGGAAGAGTTCTGGGCTCCAGTACTGGGCTTCTCGTAGGCCCCGGGACCCTTGATGAGCTCCACTGAGAAGCGGACCTTCTTCTCTGCAGCTCGAGGGGACGATTCCTCAGCCTTCCCCTGTCTGGGTGTACCCTCCTCTGGGGTGTCGGCTGGGGCTTGAGCCCACTCGGCCTGGTCCAGAGCAGGACTGACGGGTCCACTCACCTCCTCGGTCTTCACCACATCCAGGGTCAGCAAAGACTCCATTGTGAGGTCAACATCTTTGACCTCTGGAGTTTCTGCAGTGGAGTCGTCTATATCAGGGCCACCCAAAGCATCAAGCTCTTCTAAGAATTCCTCCAAACTTGTCTCGGAGGCCTAAAGGAGCAAAAACAAATTCCATTGGTAATATGATAAATATATGTCTTTGTTGAGCCCATGCACATTCATGTTTCATCAAAGCACAGAGCTATACTGAACAAAAATATAAACGCAACATACAACAATTTAAAAGGTTTTACTGAGTTACAGCTCATATAAGGAAATCAGTGAATTGAAATAAATTCATTAGGCCCTAATCTATGGATCACACATGACTGGGCAGGGGCGCAGCCATGGGTGGGCCTGGGAGGGCATAGGCCCACCAGCTTGGGAGCCAGGCCCAGCCAATCAGAATGAGTTTTTCCCCACAAAATGGCTTTATTACAGACAGAAATACTCCTCAGCACGGTTGGACGAACTGCCAAATTCTCTAAAACAACGTTGGAGGCAGTTTATGGTAGAGAAATGAACATTCAATTCTCTGGCAACAGCTCTGGTGGACATGCCTGCAGTCAGCATGCCAATTGCATGATCCCTAAAAACTTGAGGCATCTGTGGCATTGCATTGTGTGACAAAACTGCAATTTTTAAAGTGGCCTTTTATTGTCCCCAGCACAAGGTGCACCTGTGTAATGATCATGCTGTTTAATCAGCTTCTTGATATGCTACACCTGTCAGGTGGAGGGATTATCTTGGCAAAGGAGAAATGCTCACCAACAAGGATGTAAACAAATTTGTGCATAGAATTTGAGAGAAATAAGCTTTTTGTGCGTATGGAAAATGTCTGGGATTTTTTTTTTCCGCTCATGAAACATGGGACCAACACTTTACATGTTTAGTTTATATTTTTGTTCAGTGTACATTATCAAAGCAAAGCATTCAGTTTAAACCCCACCTGCAAATCCTCCCCCTCCTCGCTGGCATCCCATCTGAAATATTAAAAGGTTTATGATTAGAAGCATTCAGAATGAGTGGTCTATGTTCTTCAGTATCCTGATAACAAAGAGAGTGCTTTTGCGCTTAAAAAAATACACAGAAAAAACACTATTTCTTAGGTTCTGACATCTGTTCTGTGTGGGATCACAGATAGAGAAATATATATAGAGTGTGAGTGAGACAAGAAGGAAATAGAGAAGGATGATAGTAGGTCCTCTTGTGTGTTTAATCATTCTCTCTGCACATCCTGAGAGATGCTCTAGGCTGGTCTCAACAGTTCTCTTCACGCTCTGCTCTTTTCCCATTAGCACCAGCAGCAAAGCCTAATAACAGGCAACTGAGGCCAGGGACCACTGGCTGGACAGACCTGACTGCTCTTTCCCCTGGCTAGCTCAATCTCATAGAGAACCGCACAGCCACCAACACCTGCCTCTCAAGCACCGCTAACAGACCCTAGAAGCATTCCAGCCTCACCAATGGCTACAGTATAAAACACTGGAACAGTTGGCTTTTTAAAATAAAACAGCAGTGTGAAAAAGTGAGTCATTTGACAAATGTTGTGCTCTTTAGAGTAAGTCCCAATGTATTTTGCATACAGCCAGGCTAGGTGTGTGGTTTCCTTCTCTCAACACGGGCTGCTACTACAATTTAATATGCTGCTACTCACCTCCTGGCCCTCCCAGTCAGCCGATCCTTGCCCTTGGCTTTACTGCTGACCACTGGCACGTTTTTAACCCCCTTGTCTCTGCCCCGTGGTTGCTGACCTGTCGATAACAACAAGCAAAACCAAGAGAAACATCAGAATAACTCCTCTATCATTAGCTGATTGGTAGCTTGTACTTAAAACGTTGAACTGATTCAGCTGCTGGTGCACAGTATGCAGCATTCAAACTCACCCCGTGACTCAGCATTTGATTTGGGGTAACCTCTCCTTGCATTTCTTCCTCCTTGAAATGAAACAAGTTCAACAATTATTGGGTATCACTGGGAATAAGACATCACTTGATTATGGTCTGACTATTCCTCAGTGTTTGAGTTGACAAGAATGTTTCCAATTTATTACAGTGTGAATTTCTCACCTCTGGCTGGAGGCCCCTGTACTCTCTCCTCAGGAGATTTATCTGAAAACCTAAATAGAGAGATTTTGTTTACAGTGAAAGAACTCAAATCAAATACACAGCCAGGATGTTCCATCAACAGATGAACTACCAGATAATGAAGCCATGGTTTTGGTGTTAAAAAGTAAACAGGCAAACTCTTTCATGCCAGGGTTAATGAAGGGTCCCATGCATTTGGTTGGACATTCTCAAATATCTGTATTGTTCCACTAACCTAACAATTTACATTCCATTACTTTCATTCAACAGCCATTTTCATTTCCCTGTAATCATTATGTTCTGAGCTCAGAGCTAGAATGACACATTGTACAAAGATGAGTGGGGTATCTTGAAGTCATGTTCCTAAACTCTTCATTCATTGAGAACATCTAAGCTGCTGAATCAAAAAATAATTTTCTTACTCTATTTAGTCTCTGGGGCCTTTTTTTAACCATGCCAAAAAAGGAAAGGCATCCCAACCCCAGCTAAAAATAGTCTCCTGTTCTCTCCTCTCTTTAAAGTTTGATGCTTCTTTCTTCTAAACAGTACATTTATTTATCCAGCCACTGGGCCACTCACAACACATCAGCTGTGTTTGAAACCTAACAAACAACAGAAAAATAAGGGGGTGTTAATTTTTATTTTCCTGGTAGTAAGGATGGCACTGTATGTAGGGTTTGTGCCTCCATACATAGTAAAATAGTGGGTTCCAAAATCAAATAATGTAGGTTATACTCTATATATACAAAAGTATGTGGACACCCCTTCAAATTAGTGGATTCGGCTATTTTAGCCACACACGTTGCTGACAGGTGTATAAAATCGAGCACACCGCCATGCAATCTCCATAGACAAACATTGGCAGTAGAATGGCCTTACTGAAGAGCTCAGTGACTTTCAATGTGGCACCGACATAGAATGCCACCTTTCCAACAAGTCAGTTCGTCAAATTTCTGCCCTGCTAGAGCTGCCCTGGTCAACTGTAAGTGCTGTTATTGTGAAGTGGAAACGTCTAGGAACAACAACGGCTCAGCCGCGAAGTGGTAAACAACACAAGCGCACAGAACGGGACCGCCGACTGCTGAAGCGCGTAAAAATCGTCTGTCCTCGGTTGTAACAATCACCACCGTGTTCCTAACTGCCACTGGAAGCAACGTCAGCACAAGAACTGTTCGTTGGGGGCTTCATGAAATGGGTTTCCATGGCCAAGCAGCCGCACACAAGCCTAAGATCACCATGCGCAATGCCAAGCATCGGCTGGAGTGGTGTAAAGCTCGCCACCATTGGACTCTGGAGCAGTGGAAACGCATTCTCTAGAGTGATGAATCACAATTCATCATCTGGCAGTCCGACAGACAAATCTGGGTTTGGCGGATGCCAGGAGAACGCTACCTGCCCGAATGCATAGTGCCAACTGTAATGTTTGGTGGGAAATGAATAATGGTTCGGGCAATGCCCCTTAGTTCCAGTGAAGGGAAATCTTAACGCTACAGCATACAATGACATTCTAGATGATTCTGTGTTTCCAACTTTGTGGCAACAGTTTGTGGAAGGCCCTTTCCTGTTTCAGCATGACAATACCCCCGTACACAAAGCGAGGTGCATACAGAAATGGTTTGTAGAGATCGGTGTGGAAGAACTTGACTGGCCTGCACAGAGCCCTGACCTCAACCCCATCAAACACCTTTGGGATGAATTGGAACACCGACTGCGAGCCAGGCCTAATCGCCCAGTGCCCAACCTCACTAATGCTCTTGTGGCTGAATGAAAGCAAGTCCCCGCAGCAATGTTCCAACATCTAGTGGAAAGCCTTCCCAGAAGAGTGGAGGCAGTTATAGCAGCAAAGGGTGGACCAACTCCATATTAATGCCCATCATTTTCGAATTAGATGTTCGACGAGCAGGTGTCCACATACTTTTGGTCATGTAGTGTATATATTCTGATGTTTAAAGCCTAAACTGGCCTAGTTTTATCAAGATGTGTACCAAAGTTGAGTCAGTAAGGTCAACTCTACTTCTCCCTGGTTCCATCACGTTGACTGTCAGCTTATCACAAACCACAGGTCAACTTCTTCTAGTGGAAACACCCAATGTCTAAAATAGCTAACAAAGGGAGATGGAGGTTAGAGTACTAGGGAGAGGGTAGTTAGAGTACTACATGATAAATATCTTAGAGAGCATCTTTCCCCCTTCAAGATCTAACAAAGAACGGCTCACAAACAGAGGTGATCCAATAAAGATGTTACCTCAGAGAACAAACACATTTTTGCCAGGTCATCCCTCCTCCCTCTAATAGCGTTATTTGCCAGTCTCCAATTTGCTGTGAATTATGATTAAGGTCTTGTGACTTCTTTGGATTAAGTCTTGTGACAGTGTGAAATCAGTATCATGGAATAAGGCATGGGCAGGGCCGGACCACCACATCTGGGGCCACAGGGCACCTACCTCCAGGATTACTTTTATAGTAATCTCATGCTATTCAGTATTCTAAAAATGTTGCCATGAGGCTGAGAGAAAATGTTGCAGTTTAAAAGCCGATTTCCTGCTATTCTACACATTTTGCCATGAGGCTGAGAGGAAATAGCAGTTTTAACATGCAATTCTAAACATTTTGCCATGCCTTATGACATGTTCATATGCTGTCTGGGAAGGCCCCCAACCAAAAATAGACAAAAAATATTATTATTTTTGGTTGGGGCCCCCCTGGAGTTCGGACCCCTGGGCACAAAATGTGGGTTGTGTTAATATCTACAACAATGGAAATCTTCCATCAGCCTAATTCAACATACTGAAAGTACCTTAGAGAGTCACAAAAGGAACAAGCCTATTAGTTCATTACCAGTCACTTGATAAAGGGCCATAGCCATGAAAATAAAAACAGCACAGTATTGCTTTCCCTGTTTTTACCACTGTCTTCTCCACAGACATCATTCTGCGCTTCCTTAGAAAACAGTCAATGCAACCATGGTTACGTATAGAAGTACAGAAAATAGAGAGACCGGGATACTTCCTCTATTGAACAACGAGGTAACAGAGAAGGTAATCTGCTTGATGAGTGAATGAATGAATGTGTTAGTTTAGTTACAATGACAAGAGCATGGTCTATATTGCATGGTAAGACATGACATGTGTGGTAGTTAGCTGCAAGCTGAAGTTGTTGTGAGAACAAAAAGACCAGAAGACGAGCACATACAGAAGAGTACACTAATTTTTAATTGTAACATGAATTTATAAATCAAATGAAAAATGTGCACTTAAACATGCATCAAGCAAATGGAACAGCCAAACATGCACAAACTGAAATGATTGATAATGCAAACTAAAGTGAAGCACAAAGCAGCCTGGGATGGGAGGAGTGGGCTTACATATTCTCTGGTTTGTCCATGTCCCATGCCCGCCTCCACTGGCCACTAGCATTTTTGTGGCGCGCCACGCGCTCCCGGTCGATCTGCTCACGCTCCTTCTTCCAGCGCAGGTACTCCTGCTTCTCTTCTTTGGACGTGGGGATGGTGAGGTCTGTGTCACCCGCCAGGCCTGGCCCCTCAGATTTCTGCAAGGAGAACAAGTACCAGTCATAGTTCAGTGCCAGTGGTGAAAACGGTAAAAGGCTTACCATAGTCAGATATCCAATCTGTATTTTGGGTGTGAGAGGTAGCATTCTACAAACTCTGTGTGAGACAGTAGCAATACAGGTCAAAATAACAGCCTTATATAATAATCAGCTGGCCTTGGGTTGGTGAAGCCTCTGTGCAGTCCAGAAGATCAGAGGAACAGCAGGGTTCTAGGGGAGAACTGAACAAGTGCTCCTGGTTCTTATATGAAAGAGGACATGTCTGTAGACTGGATGGGCTTTCATCACATCAGTGTGACTAGTCAACTGGGGTCCCAGATAGCTACACTGTCTGCAGGCTTTCATCAAAGTTATCATCCTGTTTCACTCATTATCCTTCCCATTGAGATTCATCCTCTCTGTCCAGTGTTTGTAGTGGACATTCTGTAGTGTGATGATACTAGTGGTAATGCTTCCATGGATGGCTGCTACTAATATGCAGTGGCGTGTATTCAAGGATACCAAGGGAAGCCAGGCTTCCCCAAAACATTGGCCAAGAAAATAAGAAAAATATGTTTTATAGCTTTCGTCTCTCTGTGTTTCATTATATTCCTTCAATTTGCAAGAGGCTGAATGTATCTCACTGGAGAAAGCATCCGATCGAGCGAAACAGCGCCCTTCTGTCTCTGTATGTGCAGACCATCTATCTGATGCTGTCTGGTCCAAAAGAGTATGACATTGTTGCCATCCGTAGCATTGAAATGCAAGGGAAGCCAGTGAGCATTTGGCCTCCCTTGATAAAAAAATAAAGAAAATAATAGCCAATCAGCGTTGAGCTAAACTGAGTGAGCTCAACTGTGAATGGTCCTGGCGCACCAAAGAAAAGTGTCAAGGGAAGCCAGTTTGGATTTGGCTTCACTCCAATCACATCGCATTGACAGCATACATCATTGACATAAACTTGTTGTGCATCTCGCTGTGCATCTCGTTGTGTTGTTGTCCTCCGGTGGCTAGCTAGCTAAAATTGTCCCTTTCCTAAATTAGCCATGGAAGGAGATAGGGATTCGGACTTGTGGTTTTACTTAATTCTCCATACTAGCCAATGATTATAACGCCGATTCTGATCCAACCATAAATTCATTCATACATGCTCTTGGCCTGAGAGGATGTAAGTTCAATATGTAGCTAGATATAGAAGGCTAATGTTAACTAGCTAACGTTGCCCATTTAAGGAAGTTAGGCTAGCGAGCAAGCATTTTAACCAGGTAGCCTAGGACAACAAAATATTAACGCGTGTACTGTATGACAGAGTGATAGACTTTCGTCAACATGAAAAAGAGGATGGCATTGGCGTTTCTCTACAAGTAGGGTGAGTCAACATGTTTTTTCTACTTGCATGAACGCGCACACACAGTCAGATATCCAATCTGTATTTTGGGTGTGAGAGGTAGCTTTCTATAAACTCTGTGTGAGAAAGTAGCAATACAGGTCAAAATAACAGCCTTATATAATAATCAGCTGGCCTTGGGTTGGTGAAGCCTCTGTGCAGTCCAGAAGATCAGAGGAACAGCATGGGTCTGGGGGAGAACTGAACAAGTGCTCCTCTCTCCTCTCTGTCTTTTCTCCTCCAGTCCTGGGGGACGCATGGGCCACAGGGGACAGCACGTCTCACATGTTCTAACAGGCCGGCCCCCGCTGGCTCCACCTGGCACACCACTAATTAGCACTTTCAATTTCCTGCCTCTGCAGGGGCTCCCTCCCAGTGTTACTGGGGCCAGGGAGGAGCCCAGGGGAGAACGACTGCCCCTGTCATTGAAGCCACAAAGGTCAAGGCCGACCGTTGTACTGTTTTCAGAAAACAGGATGCCTCCATTATAGTGAATGGGAAAATGTCAATCTTTGTGTAAATAAAATAAACAAATCAAAGACAATCATGGTACCAATAATTGCTTCTATTACACAAGATTTATGTCCTTGAACCGCTTATTTAAAAATCGCACAAAGAAGTTATGTATAATTCAGTTGCTAATGGCAGCCTGCAGTACCCCGGTCGGCCTTCAACTGGAGATACTCAATGAGAGGGGGCAGCACTTAGCTAGCCTGCAACCTCACTTTCTGGAGTAGATCAAACTGTGCACGTTATGTCAGAGAGGAAGAGGTGAAGTGAGAGGGTCCACTACCGTCAAAATCTGTCCATGCAGGAATACAGCGATTCTGCTTATCAGTCTGCTTAATAAGCAGACCGATAAGCAGACTACCTGCCTTCCCGCCTTTGGTACAACGACTCACATTGTTAGGGCGGAGAAAATACCATCTCGTCATTATATACAGTATCTCTGGTTAAGTCTACATAAATCTCTCCCATGAGGGGCCATCTTACCAAGCTAAAACCAACTTCCTGAGCTTCAAATGCGGCAATGATTCTTAGGATTGAATGGTGTTACGTCATCGATGGCTTTGTCCATTCATATACAGTCATTGGAGGAGCCGCACACTGGCAAACAGAAAGGACCTAGGTCATATTCATTAGGCCATCGTAGCAAAATGTAGCAAAACATTTTGCAACAGAAAAGCAAAACAAGCATTTCTTATTGGACAAGTACAATACATTGTATCTGTTTTCCTCCATTTGGTGTCCATTGAATACAACTCTGGGCTGTCTTGTCCTGAACTGTATGACCATACTTACTCTGAAGCGGTGTTGGATACTTCGCAAATATTAGAATAGGGCCCTATAAAATCTGCGTTGCGGAGAATGCGGACAGAATAACGGAATCCAGACATTAAAACAGAATTGAACAATGTAAAAAAATATATATTGAACTTAGTAGGAAATCAACTAAATGTACTGAACATATTAGAAAATGCATTAAGACATGAACAAAATGCATCAGCGATTTGTATTTTCCTGCAACTTTCTGAAACGGCACAGGAATGCCACTCTCTGTGTGTGTGTTGGGTGTGTGCGGTGCGCGCGTATGTCTACACTTTGTTTCGCCGTTACCGATGATGCTAATGATAAGCTTCTTCTGGTAGAGATGGAAAGGCTTTCCCAAAAACCTTCTCAATTAAATGTTAACTACAAAGTAGCCCATGCCTATCTGGCAGAATGATATCATGATTATTTGCATCAATCCAGTGGCCATTTGTTTAGCAAATTCTGAAATCATATGAGGGTTACAGAAACATCACTAACCAAACAACAGTTTTGCTGGTGCACACCTGCATTAAAGGGTACCTACACCCAAAAATCGAAATGTATTATATTTTTCCCAGACCTCAAAAGTGGTATCCTGATGTGGTTTAAGAATTGTTGTGGACTTACAACATCCATTTTTTTTAACTGGGAAAAATAGAAACCTGGAAAAATAGAAAAAATGAATTTGGGGAAAAACTAAACTGAATCAGGCCCCACATTTTGTTAGGGCCCTATAAGAACAACTTAATATCTAGGCTATAACAGAACAAAGCTTTTAACAAGGCTTTACTGGGGTGGGTCTCTGATCATGTTTTCTTATGTAACACTGGCTTCCAAAAACCAGCCAAGATGGAAGAGGTTGCATAACTCATTGCATTCTCCAAAGCCATGCTGAGAACACACCAAGGTAGTATAACAGAGTGGGACATGAACAGCATCACTTGTCATGTGGCTCCTTCCCTCCTCCTGACGGCTCTGTGCCCTCCCTGCCTGCCTGCCTGCTTCAGGGTGTTTATTCCACTACTGATCCGTTACACTGCCTCTCCTGCTCCTACATTTTATTTCACTGGCAACACTAACACACAGAAGGCACATGGGGACAGCTTACCAGAAGGAACTTGTGTTTTGGGAAAGAGGCAGTCTATCATCATCTCAGAAGACAAGGAGTGTGGTCACAGAGGAGGGCCAATAGGAAGGGGTCTGGTCTCTTACCTGGTAGTAAGGCTCACACTCTGACAGCCAGTGACGCTCCTCTGTCACACCCTTTCCCTGCCCCACTTCATCCTGAGAGAGAGAGAGAGAGAGGTTATCAAATGACAACAAATGATGTATTCCTGTCCTCAGCAGGACAACAATTCATGCAGACTTTCAGAGAACTACACTGCCCCCAAGTGGACACAAGGTATCAAAGTATTTTTCCCAGCCAACACCCTATGAATAGTCTGTTCACTCCTGAGCAGCAACTGCAGTACATACACCTCAAACCTATCTTACCCTATCTTTTTTCTATGACCTTTCATATATGCTATTTGGGTATTTATATTCTTAACACAGCACAATATTCTTCCCAGTATCCATTCACTACAACGTTTCTATTGCCAACCTTCCACTACTGAATAAGGCCCTAGACCAGGAATCATCAACTAAATTCAGCCTCGGGCCAATTTTTCCTTGAGTGGATAGTCAGGGAGCCATAACATAATTACAAATAATTTGTAGACTGCAAATTGACTGCAAAAAGCCCAAACAGATATAATATTTGACTAAAACATAATCATTTCAAATCTTGCTTACATTTGTATACAATCACATATATCGATCTATTATGCGTGGGAATACTTTGGAACAGATTTCCAAGATTACAATCACTTAGAGCTGACTTGCTGTTGTTTTACAGTCTTTTATGTCCAACAATAAAAATAAATTAAAAACACTGCCAGTTGGAGAACCCTGCCCTTGACTGCTGGTGCTACTAGCAGACATCTCCAGAACAGTGAGAGACACCGTGTGAGAAAAGTACTGGGAATTCTGGAAAGTCAGGGAGGCTGTCTGAGGAGTGATTTAGAACACCTTCAGAGTCACACCACTGAGCCTGGGATTTTGTTCCCCTGTGCACACACACACAAAGGATCCCTCGCTCTCTCTTACAACTCTTGTAACTTTCTCTCTTTCCTCCCCATCTCACACTCGTTATCCCTCTCTCACACTCTTTCATCTCCTCTCTCCTTCACCCTTCCTTGGCATGCTGCTCACTCTGTCCTGTCAGCGGCATAATGAGCCCATTCAGAACAAAAAGCAGCCAAATGTTAATTAGATTAAATCATTCTTTCATGATGGTGGGAATGGGGAAACAATGTGGCGGAGGAGAGCAGACTCTCCGTGGCTCAGGGCAGAAAGAGACTGGAAACAGCATGTCTGCACGCCAGGTTCTCTCTCCCACCCCCTCTATCCCCAAGGCCTGTAGTGATAGGGAGTGCCTCAGGGTGGTACTATCACCCTCATATTGTCCTGCTGATACTCCAGCCGTCATCCTTTCACAAAGACACTCCCAGTCTCATTCCTCCTCACCCTCCACCAGGAATGCTTCCTGTCTTCCCATCCTCCCCCTTTCTCATCCTGTCTCAGGGACACTCCCATCCCTCCTCCTGTTCCATCTCTGGGGTACAGTAGCTACCCCACCCTCCACGCTGGAGAGACCGTCTAGTCTGATCTGGTCTGGCCACACACAGAAGACCAGAGGAAGACTGGGCAGGGCAGTGGACCATAGAGTCAGCTGTGGATCAGCAGGGGCTATGCTGCTGCAGTAACAGTGCTGGCTGTCTGAGGAGAGTATAGTGGGGAGATTGCTCTGCAGAACAAGAGGTGAACAACATTATGTAAGCAGGGTCCAAATAGAAGTGGACCTGGGAGACAGGCCTAGTTTTCTACCGCTGAGGTGGCTCAAACACTGGTCATAGTTCAATGAGCATGACATGACTAGGAGCGTCTGACCAGATAGATGCTGACCAGATAGATGCAGGCCAGAAACAGCCAGGAAACATCCCATTCACCCTGTAAATGTGTCACGTTAAATTGCTGGACCTGGCTGTAGCAGCAGCATGAGCCTGTAAACACAGTGTAGGGTTCTAGATCATTCTGTAGCCTCTGTCTGTCCTGTCCCACACACGTCCACACCACACTACAACTTTGTGCATCTATCCTCCCCTCCTGCAGCACTGATCCTCTCTCTGTTCACAGAGCCTGACTGACTTTCACATTTTAGTGCTAGAGGATCAACTGTCTGTGATGTGCATCAGCGAGTTGATTGGGTTCATATGTGTGCCAGATGACAGCCAGAGCACTAGCAGCTGTTCCAGAGACTCTGTGTGCCCAAGGGCTCTAAATCAGAAACCGTGTGGCAGCAGCCGTCAGTACTGTGTGTGTGTGTGTATGTGTGTGTGTCTGCTTCTATGAAACAACCTGCATCAGGCAGTTAATTAAAAACTCTTCCAGCTATAAGTATTTATAAACTACCATATCACTGCATCATAAATCATGAAGTAATAGAGAGCTAAAGGTAGCACTAAAAGGCAGGATGTTAGGGATTTGAAATACAGTAACTCAATGAGGAGCATCTTAATTATCCTTAATTGTTCTTAAAATAAGCAAGCTATAATTAAACAATGGCTCCTAAAACCAAAATAAAATAAAGAAAAACGCTAAAAGACCTTGGAGGAAATACACACACTAACCATTTCTTATCTATTTTCCAAATGATTCACTGCAGTCATTCCCAATGGCCGGCCCAGTGCGAGTGAGTATTATGAAAGCCCTGGATCAGGGCTTTAACAGCCAGGCCACAGTAGAGACAGAGGGACTAACAAGCTGTATGTCTGCTGAGCGCTCTCAGCTCTGTCTGAATACAGCAGCTACACCCCACCAGGACTGCTTGAGGGGTTCTGCTACGGTATAATGGCCCTCCAGATCAGACCTCTGTGAAAAAAAGACGCCATATACCAGCGAATGGGATATTTACATGTTTTAACACCTGTATGTGAACTGAGAACTCTCAGCTGTAACTATGTTAGCTACTAGCTACACCCCAGCAGGCCTGACTAGCTCCAGGTCAGACCAGTGTGACAGAACAGTTCCCAGTCCCGCCCCCTACTCAATCATCGCCAATGGGGCCCTCCCCCCGTCCAACAGCCTTTGAGCTTCTTCACAGGAGGGGAGGAGCCTGCCGACATGTCTGACAACTGTGTAAAACAAGACAGCAGTGTATGAGAGAACAGACACAAGGGAGGGGAGGGTGGCTTAACAACAAGGTACAGAGCAGGGGAGGATGTGGAAGCAATATAAACTAGCCAAAGTCTTGATAGTGTAAAAAATGCATAGTCACCGCTATATTTTCTAAAATCGATAAAAAGCAGGCTATTATGACATATCGGTTTCCTCCAGGACTCTCTGTTTAGAGTGTGTGCAGCAGCACTACACTTATACTACAATGTCTCAAGTTAGGATTCGGCCCAATGTGTGTATGCACTGCTGACCTGTGGTCCTGTGTCCTTCTTTGCTGTGTTAGTGTGCTGGTGTTTTCCTCTGCCTGCTGATTCCACATGGTGCTGGTGCAAGCCATCCTCTGTAGGGCTCTTCACATTCAGCGGATTGTGGGGACCTGGACCTGGCCTTCTCTCCAGCCTCTCACTCACCACCCTCTTACCCTGGGATCAAACAAACAGGGATCATCCTTCACATCAATATAGATCATTTACATGGGGTTCGGAGTTTCTCCTGACCAAGTGACTTGCTCAGGAAGAACTCCTGGTCCTAAACATCATTCATATCGTTCAATGGCAACATTTGACCACTGTTGGCCGCACAACTTAATAATTCCGCTAAAGTCTCTCATAGACACCGGTCTTGTTGTTTACCTTTGTGTTGCCAGCCATGGTGACCAGTAGCTGCTTCCTCCTGCCCCGCCCTGAGCCCAGCAGGTTCCCCTCCGCCTGCCTCTCCCCAGGGTCCTGGACCCCCTTTGGGGTGGGAGAACCATCCGTGCCTGGTTTGGTCATCACAACACGAGGCTCCTGCTCAATAGCAAAGTGAACATGACAGTGTAAATCACTGAATCTCAATAATACATCTCTATTGCTGATAACATACACTGAGTATACAAAACATTAGGAACACCTTCCTAATATTGAGTTGCACCCCCTTTTGCCTTCAGAACAGCCTCAATTCATAGGGCATGGACTATACAAGGTGTCGAAAGTGTTCCACAGGGATTCTGGCCCATGTTGACTCCAATGCTTCCCACAGTTGTGTCAAGTTGGCTGGATGTTCTTTGGGTGGTGGACCATTCTTGATACACACAGGAAACTGTTGAGCGTGAAAAACCGAGAAGCGTTGCAGTTCTTGACACACTCAAACCAGTGCGCCTGGCACCTACTACCATACCCCATTCAAAGGCACTTAAATATTTTGTCTTGCCCATTCACCCTCTGAATGACACACATACACAATCCATGTCTCAAGACTTAAAAATCCTTCTTTAACCTATTTCCTCCCCATCATCTACACTGATTGAAGTGGACTTAACAAGTGACATCAATAAGGGATCATACCTTTCACCTGGATTCACCTGGTCAGTCTATGTCATGGGAAGATCAGTGTGTTTTGTACACTCAGTGTATATTTATGGATAAGGTATGTCTTTCATCAAGATAGACAGGACATTTTATTGGTAAGAATATTCATATTTCAGAACTGTTCTGACATGTAAAAGCATCTCTGTGTACATCTCTGTAGGCAGACGGGGCCACTCACAGTGGTAGACTTGTTGATGGTGATGGTTAAGTCCCCTGCGTTGCCCTTAGGGCTCTGCAGTGCCATTCCTTCCTCCTCCGCTCTCTTTTTGTCCTCCTCTACCTCCTGCATGGAATGAAACAGAACATGAAACCCAGGACAACCAAAGGAACCTGATATTAATCCTCAGCGAACCCTGTAAAAGATCTAAAATATTTAAAATATTTGTTCAAATGCAGTATTTTACAAGGCTAGTTGTTAGAGACTTACATTTTCTAAGGTTTCCAATGCCACTTGCCATTTTGTTAGGGATATGATGATGAGTAAACCATTCCAGGAAGACGACAGGTCTTTGTCAAGCTCAATCCCTCCTAGTTTTAAAAATGGTGTCCTGTTTCAGAGTAAAAACAGTAGAATACCAACTCACCTGGTACCTCTTCATGAGGGCTTCGTTCTTCCTGCGGAGCGCCTCAATCTTTTTATCCAGCTCCACGTCCTTCTGCTCCTTCTTCAGCATGAAGTCCCTGGGGGTCTGGAGAGGAGAGACACACAACACTCAGCTAATCAGAACTGTAGAATCTTATGGTCCTTGTCAGCGGCTACAGTACCTACAGTAAACAGTCCACTTGCGGAACCGTATCCTGGACATGCTATGCTTGATGGGCATTCAGAATGATGAACTCGCAGCAAAAGCAGGCCAACAATATGTAGCAAGTGCTGATGACTGACGACTTGACATGATTAACAGAAGGATCACGAGTATGAAATCTTATCCCAGTCTTTCTACACCACTGTGCCTGTTGCAGTCAACACAGTAACAGTAGTACAGACAAAAATGCGTGCTCACGTCAGCACTACAGCACAGAGAAGTATGCCTCCTTACGTGACAAGAGGCCTCTGGCTAAAGCCTCAATGACTTCTTATGGGGCTGTAACAGGGCGTGTGTTACACTGCTTTTAAAGCCGAAGGCATTTCATACATCATACCACTGTGACACTGGAATTTATTGAGCAATGGGCATTACAGCAGAGGTCTCCAACAGGTAGACCAGTAGCTCGCAGCCCACCTAGGAGTACAGTGCCTTCCAAAGTTTTCATCCCCCTTTGAGTTTTTCCTATTTTGTTGCATTACAACCAGTAATTTAAATGGATTTTTATTTGGATTAATGTAATGGACATACACAAAATAGTCCAAATTGTGAAAATAAAATAAAAACATGTTAAATAAATGCTAAAAATAAATAACGGAAAAGTGGTGCGTGCATATGTATTCACCCCCTTCGCTATGAAGCCCCTAAATAAGATCTGGTGCAACCAATTACCTTCAGAAGTCACATAATTAGTTAAATAAAGTACACCTGTGTGCAATCTAAGTGTCACATGATCTGTCACATGATCTCAGTATATATACACACACCTGTTCTGAAAGGCCCCAGAGTCTGCAACACCACTCCAGCAGGACAATGACCCTAAGCATACTGCTAAAGCAACACTCAAGTGGTTGAAGGGGAAACATTTAAATGTCTTGGAATGGCCTAGTCAAAGCCCAGACCTCAATCCAATTGAGAATCTGTGGTATGATTTAAAGATTGCTGTACACCAGCGGAACCCATCCAACTTGATGGAGCTGGAGCAGTTTTGCCTTGAAGAATGGGCAAAAATCCCAGTGGCTAGATGTGCCAAGCTTATAGAGATGTACCCCAAGAGACTTGCAGCTGTAATTGCTGCAAAAGGTGTCTCTACAAAGTATTGACTTTGGGGGGGTGAATAGTTATGCACGCTCAAGTTCTGTTTTTTTGTCTTATTTCTTGTTTGTTTCACACACAAAAAATATTTTGCATCTTCAAAGTGGCAGGCATGTTGTGTAAATCAAATGACACAAACCCCCAAAAAAACTATTTTAATTCCAGGTTGTAAGGCAACAAAATAGGAAACATGCCAAGGGGGGTGAATACTTTCACAAGCCACTGCAGCTCAACAATTAATTCTGAAAGTACATGCATTTTTTTCATGTGTTCCATCGCAAACTGTCATGGACATAAAGCTCCCAGCTATTATCCAATCAAAGCCATTACGTAACATAATATCGGCAAATTAATTTCCAGCAATATTGCCCGTCTGTTTGGTGCACACGTTTGTCTATGTAGCCAGTAAGCGATGCTAATGATAACCTGCGTCTTGTGTGTAGACAGAAAGACTTTCCCCAAATACCTTCTCAATTAAATGCAAACTGCAAAGTAGGCTTACCTGACAGAACTACACTACCAGTCAAGTTTGGACACACCTACTCATTCAAGGGTTTTTCTTTATTTTTACTATTTTCTACATTGTAGAATAATAGTGAAGACATCAAAACTATGAAATAACACAAATGGAATCATGTAGTAACCAAAAAAGTGTTCAACAAATCAAAATATATTTTATATTTGAGATTCTTCAAATAGCCACCATTTGCCTTGATGACAGCTCTGCACACTCTTGGCATTCTCTTAACCAGCTTCATCAGGTAGTCACCTGGATTGCATTTCAATTAACAGGTGTGCCTTGTTAAAAGTTAATTTGTGGAATTTATTTCCTTCTTAATGCGTTTGAGCCAATCAGTTGTGTTGTGACAAGGTAGGGGGGTATTCAGAAGATAGCCCTATTTGGTAAAAGACCAAGTCCATATTATGGCAAAAACAGCTCAAATAAGCAAAGAGAAACGACAGTCCATCATTACTTTAGACATGAAGGTCAGTCAATCCTGAAAATGTCAAGAACTTTGAACTTTTTCAAGTACAGTCGCAAAAAACATCAAGCGCTATGATGAGAGGGCGGCCGGTAGCTTAGTGGTTAAGAGCGTTGTGCCAGTAACCGAAAGGTCGCTGGTTCTAATCCCTGAGCCGACTAGGTGAAAAATCTGTCGATGTGCCCTTGAGCAAGGCACTTATCCAGAGCGACTTACAGGAGCAATTAGGGTTAAGAGCGTCTGCTAAATGACAAAAATGTAAATGTAAAATCTAATGAAACTGGCTCTCATGAGGACCGCCACAGGAATGGAAGACCCAGAGTTACCTCTGCTGCAGAGGATAAGTTAATTAGAGTTACCAGCCTCAGAAATTGCAGGCCAAATAAATGCTTCACAGAGTTCAAGTCACAGACACATCTCAACATCAACTGTTCAGAGGGGACTTTCACTGTGTGAATCAGGCCTTCATGGTCGAATTGCTGCAAAGAAACCACTACTAAAGGACACCAATTAGAAGAAGAGACCTGCTTGGGCCAAGAAACACGAGCAACGGACATTAGACCGGTGGAAATGTGTCCTTTGGTCTGGAGTCCAAATTGGAGATTGTTGGTTCCAATCGCCGTGTCTTTGTGAGACGCGGTGTGGGTGAACGGATGATCTCCGCATGTGTAGTTCCCACCGTAAAGCATGGAGGAGGAGGTGTTATGGTGTGGGGGTGCTTTGCTGGTGACACTGTCTGTGATTTATTTAGAATTCAATGATGGGGAACTCCTTCAAGACTGTTGGAAAAGCATTCCAGGTGAAGCTGGTTGAGAGAATGCCAAGAGTGTGCAAAGCTGTCATCAAGGCAAAGGGTGACTACTTTGAAGAATCTCAAATATAAAATATTTTGATTTGTTTAACACTTTTTTGCGTACTACATGATTCCATATGTGTTATTTCATAGTTTTGATGTCTTCACTATTATTCTACAATGTAGAAAATAGTAAAAATAAAGAAAAACCCTTGAATGAGTAGGTGTGTCCAAACATTTGACTGGTACTGTATATCATGATTATTTGTATAAATTGGGTGGCCATTGTTTAGCAAACTCTGCCATGACATGTTCTGCAGCAGTAGGCCTTACTGCAGAAACACTGCTAGACTGACACATTCCTCTCTTGCTAGGCACACAATTAGGGGAATTACACTCATAAATCAAGATTTGATCACCGACATGAACTCAGAACACAATTTTTTTTGTTTGTTTTTGCTCAAACTCAGGAAAAAGAAAACGGAGAAAACACAATTCGGGAAAATACAGAATATACTTTTATGGGCCCTGTCATGCCCAATGCTGTTTATTAACCATTATATTACCAGAAAAAACATCTCTTGTACACCAAAGACCCAGGGAAGAGTTGCAGGGTAGAGAAGAAGACAAGAATGTGCCTATTTCAAAGCTATTTTTTTTAAATGCAGCTCGCAATATGTTGGACACCCCTGCATTACAGTAACCATGAAGGCAGCTAGGCCTAATAACTTAATTCCAATTAACTAAGAACTAGGACTACAGCTGGTTTGTTGACAAACACACAATTATTTGTATGTATCCAGGGCACAAAACCCAGTTATGGGGAATCTAATCTAAAATACAATCTGAGTAAACTTTGGGTCTTTCCCTTCTGATCCTAAGAATTATTGTAGCAGTCTCTAATGGCGTTACTTTAAATGGCCCATGAGTCTCCCGGTCGCGGCCGGCTGCGACAGAGCCTTGATTCGAACCAGGATCTCTAGTGGCACAGTTAGCACTGCGATGCAGTGCCTTAGACCACTGCGCCACTCAGGAGTATGCGCCACTGCGCCACTCAGGAGGCTAACTGTACAAACAGCAGGTTTGATCTCATCTTATGATTATTTGATCTGTTAAATTGCAGCATGGTGATTCCATGTGGGTCCTTTAGATGTAACTCCAGCAGTGTCTGTGTATGATGAGTAAAACTCAAACAGACTCTGGAACATGTTTACAAAGGCAAATGGATGCCCTGAGCAGAGCTAGTGATGTAGCATTGAATAACACTTGTTTCCTCTCCAGACGTAGTGAACGCCCACACCACAAAACAGCCCTTCACAGTTCTCAGAGGAAAATGTCAGATCGCATTGGCTCTGAACACGATACAGCAGAAACAGCACTCTGAGATGCGATTCCCAAAGCTCACTAGATCCTTTCATATAAGCCGAGCACTCATGAGGCGACTAAACCTTGAGCTCCAACAATACATACACAAAGGCACATGCACACACTCAAACAAGCACCATGTGGGCTGTCAATAAAGGATGCTTACAATTCAACCTGCCAGCATGAAATAAATGCAATTCCACTATGTCATTGTCATCCCCTGTCATCCGTGTAATGAGTTTATCATTAGGACTACTGTATACAGCAAATAATGCTAATGGTGACAGTCTAAAAGAACAATACAACCAACAAGTGAAGTGGCCATAACAAAGCTAGACCCAGGCCTTCTCATATCTATTCATTCACTTACTTGACATCAGAGAGGCAGTGTGACAACAATCCTAACCTGAAACCATAACAAACATATCCCTTTCAACCCTGTGCTGTACAATTCCCCCTATCAAGGGGCTACTGCAGCACATACCTTGCAGACAGCCTGACTGCCACAGACAGAGAGAGGCAGGAGGTGGCACTCACTGCAAAGCTGCCTGCCTGCCAGTCACCCGCCGTCGCCAGTGACGACAAAAGAGAATCCTGGCTGCTCAACGTGACATTCCGCTCAGTGCAGAACAATGAGTCACAGCGTA